TATAACTAAAATATATTTTTATTTTTGTTTGAATCAAATTTTAACTCAATTAATGTCGGCTTGTGTATCGACCCCACTATAGCGCTCTTTATAGTTGGGATGAGTCATTTCATCTACTATCGTTGATTCTCGTTCTTCTTTCTATACATAAGGAATGATTTCCAAGGAATGCGAAAATATCAAAGATGAATTGTATCTTCCGAATGCATCATCTCAGGGTTCTTCTGCTCTTCGACCAAATAGTCTGAATCTTCCAATTGGAGTAGAATCAAGAACTCAAGCCCCAACTCCCATACCTACACCTTCTCTAGGTGATATCAATCCAATTCTTCTTACTCCCGAATTCGAAAGAATCTTGCAGCACCTTAAAGCTTCGCCTCAGACCCCTGGATCTTTTCTTAACCCAAAATTCGTATCAGAAGAGCAAGAAAAGTTCGCTAAGTAAGTACTTTATTCTGGATCTTTCCTCATTTCTATCCAATCACTTCTAATAACGCAAAATTATTTCTTGTAGCGTTTTCACTCAAAAACTCAATGAATTTAAGGATCAAGCTTGCTTTGCGACACTTGCAACCAACTCGGGCCATCCTAATGTTATAATGAATCCTACTAACCAGATGGCATCTAGTGCCTCTGAACTTGGACCCCAGCAGTTTATCGACATATCAAACCTAGCAGGGATTATTCAGAAGTCGGTTCAACAGTCCCAAGAACAATATACGCAGCATTCCTTTATATTGCTCTCCCCCACTGGCGTCGACCCCAGGAGCTTGTCGGGCCATTCTGCCTCTCAGACATTTTTTAATCAGCTAGCTACCGACAATTCTGTTAATACGCTTGTGCTGGGGACGCAAGGTTCCTCTGTCACAGGGTCTTTGGCTCTCGCCATCCCCCAGCAGGCGACCTTCAAGCAAGACAATAACACATTACAAATGCCTGTTAGCTTTTCCATCAGTATGCCAACACAAGGCCAAGCTCAGACAGTGCCAACAGCTCAAACGTTTATTCCTCTAAAATCAACTAATAGAAGCAATGCTGATGCCGCCCTTGGAAACATATCAAACTCTCCCAGCATGAGCGCTTCAGTTCGGCCTTGTTCCGAAGCTTCTGATCCCTCTACTCATCTCTTTAGTGATTGTGGCCAGACCTCAGAGCCTGCATCGTTGGATGTCAACACTAGGATTTCCTCCGATGTTTTCGACTCCCGGAGACCTATTCGCTGCTCTTCCGCCTCATCAGAATCTTCATCTTCGCACCCCCTCACAGAGTCTTCGAAGCTGGATTCTTCGCGGCTTAGTGATTTATCATCTAATTCTCGCATCGATCCTAACGAACAATCGAAACTTCGTCTCGAACGCAAGAGAGCTCGCAATAGAGACGCAGCACGTAAGTGTCGTGAGCGTAAGATACGTCTTATTCGGACCCTCGAAAAGGATGTAGCCCAACTCACAGAAGAAAATAAAAGGCTAAAGAATAAATTAACCCAGAGTCGGAACGAAGTTGAACGTTTAAAGCTCTTTGTTATTAACCATCTGGAAAAAGGATGTCCTATCGTTATCAGTTGAAATCTAGAGGTAGTGAGTGGATATATTTTCTAGTCAGGTTTCGTTGGATTCTTATCCTAGTAGACCTTCGGATTCTCTTGCTACGACTGCTGTTTCTAAAGCTGCCCAGTTTTTGGTCTTTCATTCTTTCCTTTTTATTGTTGATCTATTAGAAACGATCTTTGAACTCAAACATTTTGGTCGAAGATTTCTTCCTTTGGTTCGTATTTTCACAGTTTAAGTTGTCTTTTCACCTACCTCACTTCTTAACTAAAATGAAATTTCAAAACTGTAAATAATTCACCATTGATTATTTGTTATATGTAGTAAAAAGCGTTATCTTAGTCATTATCAAACGATGTTATACCAATAGTTCACTTCGGGATACGCACGCTTTCATGTCTTTCTCCTGTAGGGCTCATTCGCCATTCTGCAATATTCAGCTTAGTGGTGGCTCAATTTCATCGTCATCGTCTTTCACGCTTATATTCTTAACGCTCGCTTTTTCAGCCACTTGATTCCTGACGCTCCATTTAGCCGTCTGTGATCGACCTCACTCGCCTTTCGCATACTTCTATTAAAATTTGCCTTAAAATGTTAAATTTCTTCCATAACCTGCGTATACTTACCACCCGCTAGGAACATGTCTCCAACAGGTATAGATTTTTCGACTAGTCTATTCCCCGATTTGTGTACTTTTATTTGGTAGTCCTGAACTTGGTTTTGTCCCATGCTTTTATGCGTTCATTGAGCCCTTGTTACCTTTGATTTATTGAGCTGCAGATTTATTGATAAATAATAAAGTTTGTACATACTCTTACAAATAAAATTTTATGGAATTGAAGCCTTCTATTTTTCCGGTAGGTTTATTTGTCCCCTATCGGCATACTAATAGCTTTGCCATCATGGTCTTACTAAGCTCCTTTGAATTTGCCCAATGCCTGAGTCTGCCGTCTAGTGATTCAAGATAATAGTTGAGATATTATAGAGATGATTAATAAAAA